GGCCACTACCGTTGCCACATCGATGCTATTGGTACTGCCGATTATCTCAGTATTGGCTGTGATGATCGCCAATGGCAGGGTGATAAAGTCTGACGAATCTATATAAACCTTCTTCGAAATACTAAAATACTGACGCCGGCAAAATACGCTCTGAGGATTCAAAAAATTTTGAAACAATGACGATGGAGATTGGACGGTCAAGTTGAGTCAGGCGATTTGGTGAGAGGCTTCCTATACTCGGCGAGCAGCGCTACTTCGAAGGCGGCAGCTTTGAAATTGCAAATAGTTTAGATTCTCGACAATCTACTCTCTAATTGATACGATGAAGATGAAATAGAACGTAGATTTTATAATCTTGCGGAGACATTCTTATTTCCGTAGATTCTCGTTATTAGCACCTTAAGATGTGCACACAAAAAACATATATGATATTGTATTTAAATATTAATTACTTGATTCAAAAGTTCATATATTTGCAAGTCATAAATCATCATAAGCATCAAATTTATTCAAAATATATTCTAAGTCCTAATAAGTTTAATTATTTTAATTAAAAACAAATTTAATTTGCTTATATAAAGCATCTTCTACGATTAATTTTATGAATAATATTCTTCAAAAGAAAATAAATTCTTATTTTGAGTATATAATAAGTTTTTCTCTCTTTCGAATAAAATTTATGTGTAATAAGTACATTTTGAGATTATCAAGAAAATATGTCTTCTTAAAGATAACCAGTCGGAGGGACATGACCTCTAAATCTATAAATAGTTACAAAATTACACATTTACGGACTGTGTTTATTGTGTAATGACAAGAAATTAATTTTGGAAAAGAAGAAAAAATTAAAAATTTTATAGGAAGATTTTCTGAGAATTCAGAAACGGCTAGTGTTATAATTTTAAGTTTTTTCAATTCGAGAATGATTTACAATTTTAAGAAAAAGGTAAATTTTAAGGTAAATTTATAAATACATGTGATTTTGTGATTTACCTGCTAGTAATTAATTAAAAATAATATAAAGTAATATTCGATTGCTTTCCCCTCCCGGATTCACAAAAGTCTTCATTGGTTCCCCTTTCCTAAACAAAATAGCTACGCGTACGAAGATAACAGTTACTTAAAAAAAAAAGTAAACTGAATAGTCATGTTTCTTATCAGTAAAATATTTTTCAAATTCTGTTCGAAGAACAATCCTGAAATGGTCTGGTATTTGCAAAAAAAAAAAAAACAGCGGAAAAAATATTCTCATTTAAAATGGAGTTGAAAAATAATAGAAAATATTATGGAAATTATAAAAAGTCTGATAGAAACATAATAAAATGAACTGAAGCCGAAACATATAACGTAAAATAGAGTTAAATTAAAATAATTTGAAATTAAAGTAAATTAAAATTAAATAAAATTGTAAATAAAACGTAAAATTCTCTAATAGTTATTGTATATAATTACATACCTCGTCGCACATCGGAATGCGATTTTCTTAAATAGATTTTATTCGAGAGCACTAAACAATTATTATCTACATTCTACAACAGGTATATCCTCCTTGTCTTCGTTGAGACGCTGCTTCATCCTTGCTTTCTTCCTCGAAAGAGGATGGCGTTTCAAGAAAAAAGAAAATCGTACGGTATCTCTTATAAATAGCACAATAAATCATTTTCATTTTCCTTCCAATCCCATGTTTCTGTCTCGCTTCTCATCTCACATCGCACTCTCTCCTTCGTTCGCTCATCAAAGCGAACAAATCCTTATTGGCACATTGTATACATAGTAGACTCTTAAGTATATAAATAAGTCGTAAGTCGATGCGTCGTTTAGATTATTAAATATATATATATATATATACTGTATATGTGTATATGAATATTCAATATCTTTATGTTGTATATACGACTAGAACTCCTCTCGACATACGTATCACATACTAATATTGACTATCGTGTTTCAGGACGAGACTCGGAAGCGCTTCGCGTCCCGAGCCTTGGCGGCGTTCTCGTCCTTCCATTTGATTCGAAAATCCTTAAACATCGCAAATCCTTCCAATCTCCTCGAATCTTTTCATCTTCGCGATTCCTTTATTTTCACAAATCCAGATATATAGACTTCTATTCTAAACTTTTACTCTAAAGAAAAGACTTTTATTCTAAAGAAAAGGGAACTTTTCTTTAGAATAAAATCTACACTTTTTCATGAAGGAAGTACAAAGAACTATCAAGCGATTGGGATGCTGTTCTCTTCGAGAATCGACTATCGGATGAACGAAAACGGCGCCATATCGTCTTATTGCTGCATCATTGACTGTAAGATCGTGACAGTATTAATCACTTAATCGCTAGTATTTTCGCAATACTTTTATCCAGACTTCATCTGGATTCCAAAGTGAGCTTACTTAATCCACTGGAGGGAATTGGTGCTACTTGAAAACACCGTACATTTTATTTTATTTTTTTCTTCGCTGAGAAGTTGTTTTCTTAGAGTCTAAATATATGTAATATGAATTGTATACATGCATATACAAGGTAATCCTTAAGATATACTAAAAGATTTAAAGAATGATCCTTCACATTAATTCGAAACGACACTTTATATGTCCAAAACAGTTTAGTTTCAAAGATACAGGATGTTAAAGTTAAAAGAAAATTTCATTTTTTCAAAAAATGTCAAAAATCACTCGAATCGTTTTGATGAAATTTGACACGTATACAAAATTTTCTTGAATTAACCCGAATGATTTTCGAAATTTTGTGGAAAAAATGAAATTTTTCCTTCAACTTTGACATCCATCTTTGAAAATAAGCCTTTCAGACGTATAGTTATATGAAGTCATGAATTAATGTAAGAAATCATCCTTTAAACTCTTTCAATATATTTAAAGACTGCCCTGTACATATTATATAGTTCTTGTTTTCAGCATTTTTCTGTCTCAATATTAATTTTTGATTCTTTAAATGTGACATTTCTTTTGTCTACTAAAGTTTATTTCAATCCTCTTGTTTGCACGAAAAAGATAAAATTGTACGATTCGTTTTTCCGCGTTTTGATTTTGTGGATAAATGATATACTTAATATTTAAAAGGCTAATCTATTTTTCTCTCTTCCTCTCTCTTTTTTCTCTCTCTCTCTCAAGGAATTAATTAGCACTTCAGTAATACTCTATTAATTAATACTTTCATGTCCAAAGGCGTTTCCATTCTTGAAAGTACTACTCCTTATCTTCATCTTCAAAAATGCCTCCGTATTTCCATTACCTTCATCTCTAAAAATCCACGTCTACCACGTATCTTACATTAATTACCGACCGTCACTTTTTTGCTTCTACAAACCTTGATTCGTACATCTCGCTATTTGATCTTTTCGACGTTCTCATCGATTTAATTGCATGGTTCAAATTCTCGTGCGATCGATTCATGGAAAAAGTCTTTTACGGAAAAATAAAAGAGAAGTGGAGCCGCAGAAAAAAAAAGGACAAAAACATTGACTCCTCAATTCGATTCTCCGCTGGCGACCGTGCCATCAGTCGGAGGGCCAGTCACGATCTGAGGTTCGCTCGCGGGTAGTCCCTGCATCTCCTGCACCCCTTGGAACAACTTGCCGGGGAATCCCTGCAGGAGGTCGTAGGAGACCGGCGTGGGTGGCAAGGCGGTGGTGTGCGCGTGCGGCGATTGCAGGACGGCGATTACTCTTCGGAGCTCCTCCAAGGCGTTTCCTGAGCGGGCAACACGGTTTTTATTTCAGTCGGTCAATTTAAATTTGAAATATAAATAAAAGGGAGCGTTCCGCCACAACGCTAGACGCCTTAAGCGATAGTCGTATATTTAAAATTACAATATACTTCTCGTAATAAAGAATCCTACGCGTGTAATAGAAAATAATTCATCAGCGATTAAATAACGTTCAACTTCAAGTTTTGCCAAATTACTCTGTTATCGCGTACCATGAGCGAATTGAAAAGCGTTTTACAATCTTCTCTGACTAGCGACTTTATCGTTTAATTTTACGTTTTTCTTTTTGACATCTTTATTAATTTTATGCTTTTAATTTTGACATCTTTATTTTTTGCATGTACTAATGACGATACAAATCTTGACCGAGACATCTACGTTATTATATTATAATTTTAAATGCATGACTTTCGCTTGAGACATCCAGTGTTGTGGCTGAATGCTCCCTTTTATTTGCATTTTGCATTGGTAAGTCACTTTTACAAAATTTCAATTAATTCAAATTTGATTTAATTCAAAATTCAACAACGAATGAAGACACGAGGTTTTCGCGTCGAAGGAACTTATTCACCTTGCATAAGAATGTAATTTTTCGCCAGCAGCAGGGTGGCTATCTTGGATAGCTTCCTCACCGAAGGGCTGTGAGCATAAGGGATGACGGAGCGAAGCTCGTCCAGTGCGTCGTTCAAGTCGTGCATTCTCCTGCGTTCTCGCGCGTTAATATTCAGCCTCACGCTCTTCCCCTGACGAGTCGTCTTTGACTTCGGAGGGCAGTTCAGTCGCGAAGCTGAAGGTCTAAAAAGGATCGTGGCACTGCTTATCGTACGTGTGAATATTATTAATTACATTTAATTAAAATTTTTTGTTCTTTAGAAACGTATTTGTGTTATAATCGCGAATGTGTGTTATATTAATCGATTATACACTTATTTTTACGGAAAAAATAATTTTGAAGTATCTAACAGGTCAGATTCCTAGATATAGAATTTAGATACTTCTGAATATATAATTTTGTTTGAAAATAATTATATATTATATGATGTTCAAGCTGATTGCTGGAATGTCAAAATCTTTTGTAGTGCGTTACCATCATACTTGACTTTCTTATGTGTAATAATTATTTTAATAGTCCAAAAATTATATATTTTCAGATCTAAATCTATACCTAAATTTTTAGATACTTCAGAAAAAAATCGTTCTTTCCGTATTTATATCTTTCTGAAGGAATTTATATTCTCTCTTTGGTGATTATTCATGTCCTTTTATATATGAAATTTCCAAGAATTCTGTTTTCTTCTTTCATACTTCCCTCTATTATCTTCTCATTCCAGTCTACTGGAAAGCGACTTTCCCCAAGTGGCTTTACTCTCGATTAAATTGAAACTAATTTGGATCGAAAACGCACCTCTCGTCCGGCCGATTTTCATCAGACAACGCGCTCGACGAGGCGTGGGGTTGCGGTTGCTGCTGAAAGTAAAAACCACCGAGACCTACGGTACCCAGCGGAGTCCTCCGTCCTGGTGCGCTTTGAGTGTGTTCCGATGAATACCCTGCCGGTGGGCCTGACACACCCGGGTGCGAAGCACCTGGTGTCGAATACACGGATTCGAGAGCTGCCGCGGATTGTGGAGGCAACGGATGCTGGAAAAAAACAGGATTCTCCGTTAGAATTTTGAGTGAGAAATATATTAATAATTATGACGTTATAATACAATTGTTATTATATCTCTAGGATGTATTAATAATAATATTGATTAATGTATTTAACGGAGCAAGAGAGTTTAATAATTAATTTAATTTTAGGACTTCATTTTTAGGACTTTCTTTCAAAATAATTTAGTATTTGTACTCTGATACTTGTCTTCAACTTTCTCAAATTAAATTTCTATTTTATTCAAAAATTTATTTTTTATTCCAATTTAATCTACTATACTTTACCTTGTTATAGTTTACTTATTTTATTGTTGCTGGCAAAAATATCGAAATTCTGTTTCTTTAATTGCTCTTTTTCAACTATTTTGTAAAGGACTCCAATCTAATTATGTGGATTTTGATGAAATGAGTTAATTTTCGCATATAATGTAGCTTACACTGAAAAAAAAATCTTAATTTCAAAGAAATATCTCTTTGCTCGTATTAAAAAAAATTATTTCTTTGGATTAATGAAAATTTCTTTGAAAATAAGATATTGTACTTTTAAAGAAATAAATATTGTATTTTCAAAGCAATTTTCATTGATCCAAAGAAATAATTTTTTTTAATACGAGCAAAGAGATATTTCTTTGAAATTACGATTTTTTTTTTTTTCAATGTACAATGTGATTGGACTAAATGATGTCATTGACACAATGCTCAATAATTGATAATTCTCAAGCTATAATGTATAAAAAAATGTAAAACTTGTGTTTTCATAGAGCATCTTTAATACATCAAAGTTCAAAAACTATCCATTATTGAGCTTCGTGTCTATAATATCCTTTTTCACCACTTTATCAGTTATTGTTAATATTGTTTGTGAAACGATTAATTCATTTTACGAGAATTCAATTTCCATATAAAATTAGTATTGGATCTGCAATTATCTGTTATTAACTGACCAATAAAATGGAAGGTAATCAATGGTATAAGGGGTGTTTAATCAGGGACATGTGTTCTTCATGTCCTTACTTACGGCATTGCGATGCTCCCAGGCCCAGGTAGGATGTGATGCGGTGCGTTGCCAGGATCCTTGCTGCAGATGCGGCTCCGGCAGGCCCTCCCTGCGATCGTCGTCCTCCGTCGAGCTACTCTCGCCATCATAGGACCTCATCTCTTGCGAGGACACTTTCCCGATTTACTCGGCAAATCCCTCCTCACTCTTCTCGCTCTCAATCCCTACATTTGCAAATTCCAATCTTATACTTTTCCCTGCCATAAAAAGACCTTGTTTCATTTAATCAATAATAAACATGTATTTATTTTAAAATTCTTCACATTTTCTTTAAACGACTTTTAATACAATTTATGTACAATATATCTCAGTTTCTATGGGTGCTTAATAAAATTGAATTAAATTAAAT